CACTGGCCTCGGCGAGCCTCTCCGCCGGGCGCTGCCTGCCTCGCCGCGGGTCTCCGTCCTCCGCATCTGACAACTGTCCCTGCCCGGGAGAGACCAGGAGCGCCCGCGGTGCCCGTGCAGCCGGGCCCAGGTTTGCACCGCACCGATCGGCCCGACCAGACACCTCCCCCAGCCCCGACCTGGGCGCTGGGGACTCCGTGCGCGCTCGGCAGTACCCAGAGCACGTTCGCTCTGCGCTGTGGGACGCGAGTCTTCTCCAAAGAGCTCACGGGCTGCACCCGAAAAACCTATAAGGGAGAAGCGGAAAAGCACCACAGTCCTTTACCGTCTTAGGAGAGGAAAACGCCTCCTGGCAGCTCTCCTTTCCTTGCCGTGGCAGCGGGACAGGGCGCAGGTGTTGCCCAAAAGCAGGCTGTGCCGTGAGGGAGCCGCACAGCTACATCCTCTGCCTGCCTGCTTTGAAGGCAACAAGTGACTTGGTCTATTTACCCAAGTTTCTCTGCTGTGGTCCCTGAGACCGTTAGGGGTGAGATACATGACAGCAAGGTTTAAGATTCCCTCTCCCTGCCTGTCCGTGCCCCTGCAGTGACTAGCCCCAGGCTCCTAGCTCCACGCAGGCTTCCTAATTTACCCGTACTGGTCCTTTTTTATCTGTAACTGGTATTCCCTCTGAAGCCCTCAGAGCTTTTGTCCGGAGGTTGGATTGTAAGTCAAATAGTGACTTGACTGACGTTTGTCTAAATCAAGTAGCCTGAAATGCAACCGCAGTACGGAGGCCCGGATGGAGGCCTTGGAGGCGAGGTGGCCGGGCAAGAGGCATCGAGAGAGGCTCGGAGTGCCACCAGAAATGAAGCTACCCAAACAGAAAATGAAGACAATTCTGTAAAAACAGGTAAGCTCCTCCCGTTGGCTCACTAGGGTCAATTTAGTGAACATGTGACAAGTTTAATTTTTGTGTTCATACTCTTTAGTTACTTTACCAATGTAAGGGCTGGAATTCCAGCCCGTTGTTACCCATCCGGATGCAATATGAGTTTATACGTTTTCCCACTGAACTCAATGAAAATCCTGCCATAACTGAGACCACAATTAGCTACCTTCTTGTGCCTTTTTTTTTTTGCTGATTTTCTTTTCTTTCCTCCTTTTTTCCTGCTTTTCCCCCCCTCTTTTCTTTTCTTTTTTCTTTTCTGTTTTCTTTTCTGGAGGGATACCTTTTTAATGTTACAATCATACAGCTAACCTGAACTCTACCTGTAGTAATTACAATCACTTTTAAAGGATCTGGTCCAATCATTTTGTTTGCACTGCCTCTTTTTAAGTGTCAGAACTGCAAGTACAACCAGGAGGTGCAGAGCAAGAATCTGAAGAGAAGATTATTGAACATGCAATTACTCAAAGGCAGCCTGAAGACATTTTGAATGAGTATAGCACTGGAGACACCCTAAGAGGGCACAACGGTAAATCTGCAGAAGGGCTAGACTAACAAACAGCTGCAACGCTGGACATGATTCAGATAAGCCATTACTCTAGTCTCTTTACATGCAAAGTTGGCAGTCGTTAACCTCAAATTATCAGTAATTAAATGTAATGTAGAAAAGATGTCCAAGACTGTAGGAACTCTGATGTCAGGACTTTGTTTTCACAGTATATTATAATAATCCTCCTTAAGATGAATGGATACTACCTCTCAGAGTTGACTTCCAGAACTAAACAAGAAATGCAATATTTCAGCAGTTACACACACGCAGGCACACACACATATATACATATAGTAGTTATGCATATATATATAGTAGAACAAAATCTTATTTTACCACGTGTGCCTTCTAAAAATGTTAACAGTTTCCTTTCAATAGAAATGTCAGCAAAAATCTTGGTTAGAACACTTTTTTTCTTGAAATTTATATTCAAGTGCTCTTCAGTATTTCTCTAAATTTGAGAAAATAACAATTTTACCCACTTGTGCTGTTAAACGGCAACATTTTTTCATACTTACAACAAAGATATTGAAAGTCAAGAGAAAGCTGTCAGCTGTATGTCCAGGACACATCCACAGAATGAACAAAAACCAGATGGTGATCACAAATCAGTAACCAGCTCATTCAGTCAAAAGACAGAAGAAAAGGAAGGCTGTGTAAGGTAATTTATTGTTTATTGATGTTATTTCTTTAAATCCAGGCATCGCTGAAGTCAATGGGAGTTTTGCTGTTCTGCGTGTTGACCTTACCTCAGCAAAATGAGTCTGAAGATAGATAAAACTTGAGACTAATTGACAAGTCAGGAATTGTCCTTGACGTTTCTGGCATTCATGATGCTTTCTTATGACCACAGGAGCAAACTACCTTTAGATACATTACGTAGTCTTTTTGATGGATGCCGAGAAAATTGTGAAAACTCTCGTGGGAGTCTTTTGTTGGTAGATATGACCATTTCTCAGTATCGGTTCAGCTGGTGCATTGTATTAATTCACCTCAATGTAAATTTTAAAGGTGACAACATAATTTTTAGCTGGAAAAAAACCCAAAGGTACCTCAAATGGTTAACAGTAAGCTACCACTCCTTTGTAAGCTCTGGCTGTAGTTTAGGTCCAGCCTAAACCCACATGGGCTGTTGAACATTGTGATGACTGTTCGTTAGTAGCTGAGAAATAGGATTATTCTCATGTTAACTCCAAATAAGCACATTTGCCAGCAATAAAATTAAAAGGCGTATTCAGTACTATTTTGTAACTTTGCTGAAAGTCTGGTCACATGGGCTAGTTATCTAATGATATTTACAGAACAATGAAGATTTATCCTCCATTCCTGTAGCTGCTCATACATGTTAGTGACGCTTCCCAAAGAAAACCTTGTGTTGCTGCTAGCTTTAACATGCCCATTCTATTAGAGACATTTACAGTCCTTTAAAGTCAATGGAAGGACTCCCACTGACTTACCAGGAGGTAGATTGGACTGTATGCACATAGAAAACTTCAGTATCCTGGGTTATTCAGGCTAGCACACGTCAGAATTAAATTCTTAAGAATATTGATGGCAGGGAACGACAACTGCACATCAAATAGTTAGTGGTTTTAAGGAACGCATTTTATTATGCTCCTGTAAGTTGCCTGATGATGCTAATAATTTGAGTAAATGCTATTGTAAATAGCACAGTGGAATATATTGCAAGTAGCTAACATGCATATAGTCATGTGTATGGGCTGACAACAGAAAAACCTGATTTAAAATTTAAAAATTTTGCTCAGAGTTTAAAAATCCTTCATTCCTTCAGAGATGTATTTCAGATATGTTTAGTCTGAGATCCTGATTTTGCATAGTTGTTGGGTGTTGTCTGTGCCACCAAAGGTCTTGCACCACAGCAGCAAAAAGAGGAGGAGAGAATAGGAAAGGAAGGAACAAGGGTCTATCAGAGGACGATTCTCCTGTTATCCAGGAAGATAAACTCTCTAATTCCCTACCTACTTTCCTGCTTGTTCTCCTTTTTTAGCAGAAGTAGGAAGAGTCTGGTAGCACACTTCAAACAGGTAGAAATGGAAAGCCATTCTAAGAAAACCTGCTGCTTATTTATTTTGATTATAGTCTTGAACTCTGCAGGTATTTCTCTTGCAGAAAAGAGCTGTTAATTATGTGGTATTGAAATTTGAAGGAAAAAAGATTTCAGTGTGCACTGAAATACATTTTTAGTTTGTTTCTGTTTCCCATTATTATTTCAGAATGACAAAAAAGATCCTCAAAGACATCTGTAAGCAGCAGAAATTATACTTGACCCCGTACTTAAATGATACGCTTTACTTACATTATAAAGGTAAGATGGGAACAAGAAAACTATTTGGCTCTATCACTCTCAGTGGCATTCCAGCAGAGAATCTAGTTTATGACTCACTGAAGTAAGGTATCTAAACATTCTTTTGGATGAGAAATATCACTAATTTGATATAACAACGTAATTGTGAGACAAACGGAGTCAATGTGAAGGTAGAAGAGTGAAAGGATTGCAGGCCTAATTCCCTTTGTGGCATCATTTGAAGGATCAACAGGAATCAAGGGACACTTTTTTCAAAACAGTAGCCTCTGATAAACTGTATCTTAAAATGCTGGTCTGGATTGCATTTAGAGGCAAATATATGTATTTTTCCTTTTTAAATGTGTTTGTATAAAGAAACTGTTTTCCAGCTTTGGAACTTTTGGATTGCCAAATAAAACTGGTCAGGAAGGAAGCAATAAACAGTGAACACACATGATGCATGTTCTCCAATACTAATGAAGAAGAAAGAAGGTGGTAGAATGAATATGAATCATCATCTTGTGGTCTGTTTTCTGAATCATACAGTTAGCTTGTTCCCGATAGCTTAAAATTGTTATAAATAAATACGACATATTAAACCTGCTTTCTACATTTGGCCTTGTTTTTGCTATTTTCTCAACATGTATTATTTACCATTTTAAAGGGCTGCATGAGACAAAGGCCAGATCAGGTACCTATACATTTTCTCCTTTTATGGTCTAGGTACTGTACCATTAAATCAGTGGAAACGTTGCCATCGATGTGAATACAAGCGTGCTCACAGAACGCATCAGCAACACCGGTTTAATGAAAATTATTCTTCCAAATGCTGATTTTCAGCCAGTGCAATTTTATTTAAAGACCTTTTTTTTTTTTTTTTTCTCTGCAGGGTTTGACCGCCTGGAGAATCTTGAAGAATATACAGGATTGAAGTGTTTATGGCTGGAATGCAATGGCTTATCAAAAATTGAGAATTTGGAGGCTCTGACAGAGTTGCGTTGCCTCTACTTGCAACTCAATTTAATTAACAGAATTGAAAACCTTGGGGCCTTGCAAAAGCTGGATTCCCTCAATATTAGTAACAACTATATCAAGACCATTGAGAACCTCTGTAAGAACTGCTGGTGAAACATTTAACTTAAAATGCACCACCCATTTTCCTAAGCTTTGACTGTTATTAGTGGCAGTAGTTTCCAGGGATTTTTTTATTCATGTTAACTTTTTGCACAGTAGCCCATACCAAAGTCCACAAGGCTTATGTTGAAGTCAAACCTATGTATTTTCCAATTTGAACAGAGCAGAAAATGAAAAAGGTGTAGTAAGTGCTTACACATGGATACGTCAAACAATTATGTAGTTTTTCCACACTTCTTAATACTGTCTCTTAGTACTGTCTCAGTACTTACTGTTTTGCAAACAGGCTGACAGTCCAGTTTTTGCTATTCACTTTACAATTAGGATGTCCTTTGGCAGTTTGCAGATATGATTACCAAATCTCTTCTGTCTCTAAAAGGATTTATTCCATCTTCAGCAGAAAATAAAAAATAATTCCTCTGTATAATCATTTATGTACATTAGCAGTAACTTGAAAAGGATACTCTTGCTTTTGTGTAACTGACTAGTTTGAAACATGAATTAAAAATAACCAACCATCCTAAAACAACCGTTTTTTCTTGTGATGGCAAAAGCAGCTTTGGAGGAATAGCCAATAAGTATATATGGCAGAATTCAAAAAATTTGTAGAAAACTCCCCACAATTCAATATAAACAGTGATGTTGAAAATGCAATCTTCTGCTTTCTCCAGAAAAAAATCCCTTGTGAAGCAATGAGTCTTACCTCTCCTTTGATTGTACTGTTCTTGTCTGACAGCTTGTCTGAAAGTCCTGCACACTCTGCAGATTGCTCACAATAAATTACAAACAGTGGAAGACATACAGCACTTGCGAGAATGCCCAAGTATTTGTGTCCTCGATCTTTCCCACAACTACCTAGATGATCCAAATATTATAACTATTCTGGAGGCCATGCCTAATTTGGTAAGCACAGTCTAGCCGAGGGGTTGTCATGTCTATGAGTGAACATCCTGTTACATGGTTTTATCAGGTAGCCCAGTACACGATAGGTCTGCAATCTAAAGCAAATGCTATTAAAACATCTTCGTCTGTGATTGTAGATTGGATAGTTGATGTAGTTCTTGGCTTTGAAGTGATAGCGCATATCCAAATAGGTGGGTTTTTGCTACTCAACTTAAAAAAATATTTCTCTCGTTTCTCTAGTGTGTGCTTAATTTAATGGGCAATCAAGTGATAAAGAAAATTGCTAATTATAGAAAAACACTTATTGTTCGACTGAAACAGCTAACATACCTGGATGACAGACCAGTTTTCCCAAAGGATAGGTAAGAAAGAAACAGCAGCATCTTCTTTACACAGCAATAAAGCTCAAATGCTAATGATCAGTATTAAGAAGACTAACCACTATAATTTACTGAGGGTGGGTGATTTTGAGTACAGTAATATTCTACTACAGAGATCTGCATTTAACATACCTAGAAAAAAAAAAACATATTTTTTTTCACAAGAAAAGTAATTCTTGAGCATTATTGTTTTATGGAAAGTCTATCGACCAGAGGCAAACGATGATCTCAGTTGAAACTGAACAGATGTCTGGGAAAGCAAGCCAAGATCAGCACTTCTCATGGCTCTCTGCTTTTGTGATCATTAGTGTTTGAATATCCTTGTTTGTTTTTTGTTGCAGTTATATGCGCAAGATGTTTGTGTGTCCCAGTTGCTTAAGGGCTTGTCAATGCTATCTACTTTTTTTCTACTGCAAGATATGTTAAATTTCTCTTTCATTATGAATGTGATCTTTTAAAGCTACATTACAGTGAGCTCTTCTGTTTTCATTAGAGCATGTGCAGAAGCCTGGGCCATTGGAGGGCTTGAAGCTGAGAAAGCAGAAAGGGAAAAATGGGAAAGCAGAGAGAGAAAAAAAATCCAAGATAGTGTCAATGCTTTGGCAGGAATCAGGAGAAAAGCAGAGGAAAAGAAAAGACAAAAGTATATGGAAGAAAGAGATGCAAGTGCAAAGTGTGAAAACAGAGATGTAACAGAGACCCTAGAAGGTTTGTGGTTGGTATTTTGGAAAAAGGTTGTGTTTGTGTCTGCTTCAGTTTGAATATTTAAAACTAATTAATAGTTTCCAAATGTTCGTTAGGCAAGATGATGCAATTTTGGGAGTATCCTTAAGGATCTTTTCTTCCCATACTGGATACTTTATCAACTTTGATGCATTTTAGATTAACCTGAAAAGCTTTTAAACGCTCATCACGTTTTCTCACTGCTGAGAAAACAAAAAAACAACTAAACACTTTCTGTCCCAGCTTTTCAAGTCGTTGTGTTCTACACCAGAGCAACCAAACCTGATCCTACAAGCCAGGTACCAAAATCTGTATGTGATCGAGTGCTAAAAGACTTGCGTCTCTGGGCAGGGGAATAACAGTCCCAGCAGTCATTCGGGGCGGAGACAGGCAGCGACACCCCAAGAGCAGTCTTTCCCCCAGATGCAGGTTGGGACGGGCTTGAGTACGCATGCGGGCTCTAGGGAGACCCAGCGATAACTGCCTCGCCAGTTCATAAACAGGAACCTCTGCACTGCTGCATTCACTAACAGGTAAGGACTTGAGGCTGTCCACAGCAATGGTAATACAGGCAGTATGAAGAAGGCCTTTAAGGATCTGCTTCGCTTACTGCCGTTTTAATGCCACAAGTTCTCCTGTCACATTATTCAAGATGGCATAAATTCATGAACAACAATAGTCCCCTGCCTAGCCTTTCTATAACAGTATGTGTGTTTCAAGATCAGCAAGACAGAAGCCAAATAAGAAGCGAGTACGGTGTTCATTTGATAAATTTTGTGGTTTTACAGTCTGTGAAATGTAGTTGAATAACAAGTAAAACTTGTTCAATGAGCTAGGAGATTGCATAAAGGGGAGGATAACTTCAGCAGTTGTAACTGATCCATCACAATGCTCAAGCATATGTTTAAATGTAGACACTTGGGCGTCTTCTCGAAGTTAATTACAGATACTGGACAACTATTTACTTTAGCGTTTTGTCTAGATGAGGCTTTTGCTGGGGAACTGCTTATGAGATGGAAAACCCGCAACATGGCTGCAATCTTGTAGGGACTGTCAATGCATGAATGGCTGCTCAAGCAGAGTAGGGGCTTCTGATGTATAATTTAGGCCAAACTTTTAAGACCACGTAGCACAGTTGGGGTGTCTAGAATGACAACTGGCAAGCCAACTCAGTAATTTTAAAGAACTTCTTCTGTAGGAGCATCTGCAAATTCAGATGACAGTGATGGAACTTCTAGTACATCAGAGATATCAGATCCATCAGAAGAGGCAGAAACTCAACAGACAATTGAGAAATTTGTAAATGAAAGTTCTGGTGCTTGTGATGAAGAGATAACACTGCTATC